TTGATGATAAGAAAGATAAGGGAAAGGAATAAATTTATGATGGCTGCTATGTTTTTGGTATAATATTGACACTACAGTGAAGACTAAGAGAGGAGCTGGTAGAGTGGGTGGAGTGTTTGACAAAAAATAAGATAAATTGTGACAAGTGATCTAATGAATACCTATCATACTTCATACATACACGCAGTATTCATTCATCCCATATTTTCTGAGCAACTAGCATGTGCCAGACACTCGATATAAACTAGTGAATAATACAGACACAGATGCTGGTCTTCATGATGAAGTAGGTTTGATACTGATAAATACTCTGGAAGAAAAGAAAGAAGGGAGTAAGGGTTAGGTGTACCATATGAGGGGATTATTTGTCATTTTAAAGAGCATAGTGTAAATCCATGGCTGATTCATGTCAATGTATGACAAAAACCACTACAATATTGTAAAGTAATTAGCCTCCAACTAATAAAAAAATAAATGGGAAAAAAAAGAAAAAAAAATCCCATAGGACCTGACCTATCCATCTAGCTCTCTACTCTTGGAGACATCCTTGCCCTCAGAGATTTCTAGAAATTCCTCTGTATAAAGCAAGGGAAGCTTCATGTAACTATATAAACATATTAAGATTTTCATTTAAGTTTGTTTAAAAAACAGAAAGTATACTGTTCATGTGACTATTCTGGCCACAGTCCTAATACATTATTAAGTCCTTAGACTTCCAATTGAAAAGAAAAAATAAATACTACTTTAAAGAGAAGAAAAAAAAATTATGGAGTGGATAACCTATACCTTCAGTTGGTAAAGAATCCACCTGCAATGCAGGAGACCCCGGTTCACTTCCTGGGGCAGGAAGATCCACTAGAGAAGGGATAGGCTATGCACATCAGTATTCATGGGCCTCCTTGGTGGCTCAGATTGTAAAGAATCTGCCTTCAATGAGGGGGACCTGGGTTTGATCCCTGGAGGAGGGCATGGCAACCCACTCCAGTATACTTGCCTAGAGAATCCCCATGGACAGAGGATCCTGGCATTCTACAGTTCCATGGGGTCACAAAGACTTGGACATGACCACATGACTAAGCACAGCACAGTTTATACATGCATATGAACATATGAAGTGCATAGCAAAGCTTTATAGAAAAAAGAGCACTCAATACTATTCTAATTAAATCTGAAGCCTTGTTCTTCATTTAGAAATACCTTGTTTTGGTCAAGAAGACAAGTCACAAAGACTACAAGTCAAACAAACTACCTTGACTGTGTAGTGTAGTTAAATTTCAACTGTATCTGTAGCTCTGGAACTTATATATGGTAGGAAAAGTTAAGGTCCTATCAAGTAGTACAGATCAGACAAGGTAAATAAATTTTTCTCAGCCACAATAAATCAGATGTCTTACAGAAAATGAAATTACTCTCTAAACTTGTCCTCATTCTTAGGAGGAATATAATTTTGCAGTCGATTTTTCCCTTTCTCAGGATGTGAAGTTATTTCCATTTTTTGATAAAATACTTTTTCTTATAATTTTAAAGCCTTTTAATGTCAGTTTTTAAATGGTTTGGCAGTGTTTTAAGTATAATCTATAAATAAGGTTACTTTAAGAAATTAAATGCAGCAATCTGAGAAGAAAAAGAAATAAAAGGAATCCAGATCAGAAAAGAAGTCGTAAAGCTCTGTTTGCAGATGACATAATACTGTACATAGAAAACCCTAAAGATAGTATCAGAAAATTACTAGAGCTAATCAGTGAATCTAGTAAAGTTGCAGGATACAAAATCAATACACAGAAATCACTTCCTTTTCTATATACTAACAATGGAAAAATCAGAAAGAGAAATTAAGACATCAATCCCATTCACAACTGTAACACAAAGAATTAAATATCTAGGAATAAACTTACCTAAGGAGATAAAAGAACCATACAGAGAAAATTATAAGACACAGATGAAAGAAATCAAAGATGACATAAACAGATGGAGAGATATTCCATGTTCCTGGGTAGGAAGAATCAAAATTGTGAAAATGACTATATTACCAAACGCAATCTACAGATTCACTGTGATCCGTGTCAAATTACTAGAACAAAAAATTTTATAATTCGTATGGAAACACAAAAGACCCTCAATAGCCAAAGCAGTCTTTCAAAAGAAGAATGCAGCTGGAGGAATCAACCTTCCTGACTTCAGATTATAGTACAAAACTATAGTCACCAAGACAGTATGGTACTGGAATAAAAAAAGAAATATAGACCAATGGAATAAGACCGAAAGTCCAGGAATAAACTCATGCACCTATGGGTACCTTATTTTTGACAAAGGAGGCAAGAATATACAATGGGGTGAAGACAGCCTCTTCAATAAGTGGTGCTGGGAAAACGGGACAGCTACATGTAAAAGAATGAAATTAGAACACTTCCTAACACCATAGACAAAGATAAATTCAAAATAGATTAAAGGCCTTAATGTAAGAGCAGGAACTATAGAGGAAAACATAGGCAGAACACTTGGTGACGTAAGTCAAAGCGAGATCCTCTGTGACCCACCTCCTATAGTAACGGAAATAAAAACAAAAGTAAACAGCCCTGTTTAAACTTAAAAACTTTTGCACAGTAAAGGAAACTGTAAGCAAGCTGAAAAGACAACCCTCAGAATGGCAGAAAATAATAGCAAAGGAAACAACTGATAAAGAATTAATTTCCAAAATATACAAGCAGCTCATACACAGTCAATAGCAGGAAAGCAAACAACCCAGTCAAAAAGTGGGAAAAACACCTGAACAGACATTTCTTCAAAGAACACATTCAGATGGCTAACAAACACATGAAAAGATGGTCAACATCGCTCATTATTAGAGAAATGAAAATCAAAACCACAATGATATATCACCTCACACCAGTCAGAATGGCCATCATCAAAAAGTCTACAAACAATGAATGCTGGAGAGGGTATGGAGAAAAGGGAACACTCTTGCATTGTTGATGGGAATCTAAATTGATAACAGCCACTATAGAGGATGGTATGAAGATTCCTTAGAAAACTAGNATGTACACCTACGGCTGATTCATGTTGAGGTTTGACAGAAAACAGCAAAATTCTGTAAAGCAATTATCCTTCAATAAAAAATAAATTTAAAAAATTAATTGGAATAATAGGAAGGAGATATATTTTTAGTAAAAAAAGGTGTAATGATATTGAATATTAACATGCTTTCTTCTGTACTTCTTGAAGTGTGTTTAAGTCAGTATCTTCATACTCATCCTTAAAGACATCTTTTTCCTATAGAAACAAGTAAAAACTCCTTAGTATAATGTTCTGTACTTCCCATGACCTTAACCTGGTCCGTGACCCAGTCCTTCAGTCACGTCGTCTCTTCCTCTTTCTTAATACCCCGCTGTTGTTTCTATGGCACCTGTCCTCGCGTGCCGCCCGCACTGCGCCTGGATGCGGCTCCTCGTCTCGCTTCCTCACAGTCAGCTCAGGACGTAGGTTCCTAGAGGCGGGAGCCCCTAACCTGAGTTTTAAAACAATCCATGAGACCGAGAGTCGCTTCCCAGGGGCTAGGTGGTAAAGAATCTCCCTGTCAATGCAAGAGACAGGAGTTCCATCCCTGGGTCAGGGAGATTCCCGGAGGAGGAAATGGCAGCCCACTCCAGTATTCTTGCCTGGGAAACCCCATGGACAGAAGGAGGCTGGCAGACTGCAGTCCATGGGGTTGCAGAGAGTTCTACACAACTGATCATGTATGCATATGAGGCGGAGAAGACTACAGAGGACAGGGATAATGTGTTAAGAGCAGCAAGAAAGCTCACGGCAGGGAAAGCATGTATCTTCGGAGCACAAAGGGATTTGGAGGCAAGGATAGAAAGGGCTGAGACTAAATGTCCTTGATGCTTGTGCTACTCAGTATTGTCCCCAAAACAATAGTTCCTGCACCACTGGGAAATTTTTAAAATGCAGTGTCTCTGTATTTATCCCAGACCTACTGAATCAGAATCTCAGGGACATGCCAAGGGTTCTGTGTTTTCACAAGCTCTCCCGCTGATTTCTATGCATGCTAGAATCTGAGAAGCACTCTTCTGTCTCATGTGGGCCTCCCTGGTGGTTCAGAAGGTAAAGAATCTGCCTGCAATGCAGGTGACCTTGGTTTGATCCCTGGGTTGGGAAGATCCCCTGTAGAAAGGAATGTCCACCCATTCCGATATTCTTGCCTGGAGAATTCCATGGACAGAGGAGCCAGGCAGGCTGCAGTCCATGGGGGTCACAAAGAGTCGGACACGAGTAAATGAGTGAACACCCACCTTCTATCTCATATAGAGGTATTTGGATGCTTTTCCTAGAAACATTTGGAAGGTATGAAAAGTTTTTAAGCTTGAAGATTCATTTGATGATCTTTGTGTTTCAATCAGACTTAGTCATTGAAGAAATGCTTATTTAGTCCTTACTGTGTACCAGGCATTTTGCAAGGTACCTGAGATACCATGGTGCCCAAAGTATCATGGTCCCTATTCAACATGGACCAGAGTGTAATGGGAAATACAGACAATAAACAACTGGGAGTTAGTAATTACAAATTGTGATATTTTTGAACTCAAGTTCATTCTTTAAGAACTAATTAAAATGCTAGGCCCCCCCAGCTACCCTCGGTATCTTTGTCCCAATTTAAGGATTCTTTCCATAGCACGTTGCTCATCTGTGTGCATGCATGCTCAGCCATATCTGTCTCTTTGCAGCCCCATGGACTGTAGCCCACCAGACTCCTCTTTCCGTGGAATTTTCCAGGCAAGAATACTGGAGTGGATTGCCATTTCCTCCTCTAGGGAATCTTCCTGACCCACAGATCAAACCCATTTCCCTTAAATCTCTCCTGCGTTGGGAAGAGGATTCTCTACCACATCGGCACTAGCTCTTATTTTGTTGCCATTAAAATGTTCATGAGAATAAGAGAGCATTTTATACACTTAGATTGACTCTGTTTTCTTTGCCGGCTCTTTCTCTGCTCCGTGCAGACTGCTCAGGGTGGCGGCCACCGAACACTCCTCTATGGTCATGCAGTACTGCTGCGGCATTCCTACAGTGGCATGGTGAGTACACGTGTTGGTGTCGTCTCCTCTGTGGCCATGCTGATCTATTGTGCATACAGGGCGAGGAAATATTTGATGACCCTGTTCCACTGATGGCTTTAATAAGCTTCAGTTGTGTGTGTTTCTTCATATCTTTGAACACTGTTTATTTTCTCATTTATAATATGATGGTTAGCTTAGAGGACCTTTCAGGTCCTTCAGTTCTATCACGGTATGACTTCTGTCTTTGTATCTTATTTTTGAAAGACTAGGTTTAGGAGGAGAGTTTCTTTTTCTCCCCATATCAGCTCCTTCTTACACCCAATTATCCATTTATCTGTGGGGTTCCTCTCAGACACAATTTACTCATTATCATTTATATATGTGTGTATATATATTCTTATAGGTATAAAGTATTATATAAACATTCCCTTCTTTTGAAAGCTTTATTAAGTTATACAAACAATGCATATTCATTCTGTAAGATTTGGAAATTACAGAAGAATGAAATCTTCATGATCACATCAATGACAGAAAATTCTTGGGGACTTTTAAAAAATTTTCGATCTTAATTTTTTGGTATAAGTGCTATCTTGTTACATAACCAAATTTATATACAGCTTTTTTTTTTACATATTATCACAGTATGTTATTTAAATTTTTATCAGGTTTAGTTTAGTGACTACATGATAGTCCAGTACTTGGAAATATAAAAAGAATCGTTACTTTTAAGAAGGAGATAATTCCCTAAATAAGTAGACTGTTTCTGAGCAAAAACTTAAGCATAGTCTCTATAACAATACCCCTCAAAACAGAAAAAAATCATCAGTCTTCATCATCATGAATACTGGTGTGTAAAATCTGTTTAATGGAATTGAAAAGTATAGGAAGAGAAGTATAGGAAAAGTATAGATATGATTTTAATAATGACTTAATAACATCGTTGCTATTAATGGACTACATCACACTAGTACGTCAGATAAGAAAAATATAATCATCTTAACAGGTACTGAAACAGGTTTTTAATAAAGTACCAATTCCTAATAAAAATTGATCATTGATGGTTATTTCCTCAATGGTGAGGAAAATATTTATGTTAAATCAATGGCCAACCTTATAGTTAATTGTCAAACACTAAGTCCATTTTTGACAGAACAAAAACAAACCCCAAGAATATGCTATCTAACATTGTTCTGGAAATCTTGACTGACTTACTAAGATATGAAGTAAAATAAAGGAAAACACTTCAAGTGACTGGATATAAGACAAATGTATAAAACTAGCCTTTTTGCATATAGCACTCACACATTAAAACTTCATGGAAAGAATTTCACTTTCAGGAGCCATCAGAACACATAAAATCATAAATACGAGAGTCTGTCTGTAAATAACTACTCTCTCTGTACATAGTAGATGGGACAGAGCCTGAGGTTGGCTGGTAGATCTGGGTTGAGGCTTTCTTTCCTGCGTGCTATGCTGCTTTGGGTACCTTGCTGAGCCTCTCTAAGGCTGTGAGTGCATCTGAAAGTTTGACTCGTTTAGTCAGTAAATATTATTCAACACCTCTGGGTGCTAGATATAGTAGTAAGAAAGACTAGTCTTCGCCATATAAAATTTAATTAACATTTAGTTGAATAATTATAGTCTCTACCTAGCAGTTGCAGTGAATATTAGAGGAGGAGAGAAGGTATGTTAACAACTCCAGTGCACGGTACTGTAATATTATTGAAAAAATCATAGAAGACTTTAATAGATTTTAGTTTAGTGACTACATGATAGTCCAGTACTTGGAAATATAAAAAGAATCGTTACTTTTAAGAAGGAGATAATTCCCTAAATAAGTAGACTGTTTCTGAGCAAAAACTTAAGCATAGTCTCTATAACAATACCCCTCAAAACAGAAAAAAATCATCAGTCTTCATCATCATGAATACTGCTGTGTAAAATCTGTTTAATGGAATTGAAAAGTATAGGAAGAGAAGTATAGGAAAAGTATAGATACGATTTTAATAATGACTTAATAACATCGTTGCTATTAATGGACTACATCACACTAGTACGTCAGATAAGAAAAAGATAATCATCTTAACAGGTACTGAAACAGGTTTTTAATAAAGTACCAATTCCTAATAAAAATTGATCATTGATGGTTATTTCCTCAATGGTGAGGAAAATATTTATGTTAAATCAATGGCCAACCTTATAGTTAATTGTCAAACACTAAGTCCATTTTTGACAGAACAAAAACAAACCCCAAGAATATGCTATCTAACATTGTTCTGGAAATCTTGACTGACTTACTAAGATATGAAGTAAAATAAAGGAAAACACTTCAAGTGACTGGATATAAGACAAATGTATAAAACTAGCCTTTTTGCATATAGCACTCACACATTAAAACTTCATGGAAAGAATTTCACTTTCAGGAGCCATCAGAACACATAAAATCATAAATACGAGAGTCTGTCTGTAAATAACTACTCTCTCTGTACATAGTAGATGGGACAGAGCCTGAGGTTGGCTGGTAGATCTGGGTTGAGGCTTACTTTCCTGCATGCTATGCTGCTTTGGGCACCTTGCTGAGCCTCTCTAAGGCTGTGAGTGCATCTGAAAGTTTGACTCGTTTAGTCAGTAAATATTATTCAACACCTCTGGGTGCTAGATATAGTAGTAAGAAAGACTAGTCTTCGCCATATAAAATTTAATTAACATTTAGTTGAATAATTATAGTCTCTACCTAGCAGTTGCAGTGAATATTAGAGGAGGAGAGAAGGTATGTTAACAACTCCAGTGCACGGTACTGTAATATTATTGAAAAAATCATAGAAGACTTTAATAGAGATCACTCTATATTTTTTTTCTGATAAGTCAATATTACAACATTGGTACTTTTTCTCAAATTAACATTGATATTTAATATGCCTAGATCTAAAGTCTGTAAACCTCAGAGAACACAATGTCTTGAGATTAGACTCCTAACTAGCTACGAATATATTCGAGGACTTTTGAAGCATCTTTTCTTTATCTTTGGGAGTCCATGGTTTACAGTCAGGGAACAGATTCTCCTGATTAATTGAATTTACACCCTCATGGCACCAAATTCCAGTTGACTTCTCTCGCCAGTCCATTTATCACTTGCCTCCTTACACTCACAGACACCCACTGAGCTGGGTGGACCCTTTTCCATTGTAGGGGTTGTCTAGGTCTTGCATTAATTGTCCAGTGATTCTGGGAAGTCAGGGCTGGCTTAATCCCCAGAGCTGTTCCTGAGGCCTGTTGGCAGGGTTCCTATTTTTTCAGGTACTGCATTTGGTTGGGGTAGATGACAGTGTATCTTGAGCTCATTCTAGATTCATCTCTGTGTTCTCAGTCTTGTAGCCCTTACTGTAGATTTTGAGGTTAGCATGGGAGTAGGGGAGTTGGCCAGAAAAATGATCCTAAACTTTATGTCCAAGAATATACAGTTAGGAAAACTTGAGGCAGGGAGAGGAGTCAGAGATGATGATGTTGGGCAGAGTTGCATTCTTCCTAGGTAAGCACACATAGGTATACATGTGACAAAGCCTCATTGCAGTGAAGCAGTATGCTACACACCACAGTGAATTCTAGATGAATTTTAAAGAGTTTAAAAATTTGAAAATAAAACTAGAAGATAAAAGTGAATAGTGTTCAAATTTCTGCTTGAAAGAAAGATTTCTAACAGATCAGGTTGTTCTTTTGCTTATGATCATGAATATCACATAAAGTGAGAGATTTAGAGACATATCCCAAGTTACTCGTCTTGTTTTGTCTACAGGACATATTTCTGCAATATTTTTCTGAGTGGGGGAAAAAAACCCCACATTTCCTCTAGAACATTGCTCCCAGTGAATGCTAAGTGCTCAGAATTAGACTTGGAAAGAACTGGAAGTGTTTAGTGATGACTACTGATTCTGTCTTTTAGTATCTGTGCTGCCTGTCCACCTCTCGGTCTTCAACTGATAAGCTGGCTTTTGATGTTGGCTTGCAAGAGGATACAACAGGTGAGCACCTTGGTCTGCGATGAAGCTGTGTTCAGAGAGCATGGCAGGAACTGGTTTGGGAGACGCCATGAGATCCGATGAAAGATATATTGGCTGAATATTCTTAGGAACGGTTTCAGGATAAAACCACTGGCTAACTATGGAAAGATTTTATTAGAAGGAGGAAATGTGCACTGTTTCTGTTGGTAGGCCCTCCCGACATAATTAGCTCGATGCGCAAACTAGACTTTTAACTTTATTCTTTTGATGGAGTTGGGTAGGAAAATGGTACTTGCAACATGCCCTGCTATCTGATAACCGTATTAACGTGCACTGATTAGTTTGTAAAGTATTATTGCATATTTCTTTCTTTTACATTTCATCTTAAAAACATTTTTAAGTGTGCAAATATAACATAATCAATGTCAGCAGTCAACCAAAAAGACAGAAAATGAAAATCTTCTTCATTTCCTTGTCCATGGGTCATCATTGCTACATATACGTATTTATTTACATATATTAATATATTTATCCTTTTGAAGACTCAAAGTATAGATTTTATTTGTGCTTTTGTTCTCAATGCTCTGAAGACTTTACACTATATCCACCTCTGTATGATTTGATTCTTTTATTTTTTACAATAAGCATGTCTGCCTTTGGAATTAAAGACTAACGACCCATTAGAAAAAGGAATGGAAGGAAATAGATCAACTTGCATCAGGTTGTTGCTTTTATAGGTGACATGAAACTCACACCTGCCCTCCTTTTTGAAGTGCTTTCCCATACTCTATAAGTTTGACAGATAACAATGGATAAAATAAAGTTCTATTTACCAACCTAATTAACTTTTTAATAGACAAGCACATTACCTTTAACAGGGAATTCTGAGAATCCCAGGCACCAAAAAGATAAATATATTCCTCTTGTTTTTATTTAGTTCTATATATTCTCAGCCATTCCTCTGTGCTTTGGCTAGTTTTTTTTTTTTTTTTTTTTTTTTTNAAAGAACCCATCTCCCAATGCAGGAGATGTAAGAGACATGGCTTTGATCCCTAGGTCAAGAAGATCCCCAGGAGGAGGGCTTGGCTTACCCACTCTAGTATTCTTGCCTGGAGAATCTTATGGACAGAGGAGCCTGATGGATAACAGTTGTTAGAGTCTCAAAGAGTCAGACACGACTGAAACGACTTAGCATGCAAGCACAAATGCATCACTATTCTCATTTTGCATTAGAACTTAGGTTTAAAAGGAACCATGAACAGATTGAAGAATTGCACGCTTACGCTTATGTCCTTCATGATGGGACTGAAGAATGGAGAACGGTTATGTGGTTCATGAGGCTTATGCTTGATTTGTTCTAGAAGAAATTATTTAATTTTATGTTTTCTCAGATTGCTTTATAATGTATCTTTTTAGAATGTATCCTAGACAATTCTGTAGGATTCTCTTTTACTCCTAAATGAATAGAAACTGCTACATTTTGAAATAAGGCACAGGGTTAGTAAAACTTAAGTGACAATATTTGTACTCATTTTGAGTCAATATCCACCCAAATTAGAAGCTTTTTATTTATCACAATATAACTGTCACATAACACAACCAAAATCCTTTTGAGAATCAAGTGGTAGAAAACTGGATATAATTGGAAGGAGCCATGTGAACTGCTTAATGACGTGATTGTCTAAGGAATGAAGTTGGGTCAGTGTGGCTGGTGAATTTGGTCTTATGTTGGCGTAAATAAATATTCTTTCAGAGCAGTTCTTAGTGGGGGAAAGAGACTCCACACTTCCCCAAATGTCACAGTCATTTTCTAAGAGAAGAACCTTTGCATGTCACTGTCGCCCTCCCTTCTCCCCTCCGTTCCTTCCTTCTCTCCTTCCTTTTAAATTTTCACTGAAGTACAGTTGATTTGCAGTGTTGTGTTAGTTTCAGGTGTGCCATACACTGAATCATTTAAACATATGCATATATTCACTCTTTTTTTAGATTCTAAAGCTAATTTGTCCTAATTCTTTTGATTTTCATGGCCTATGAGGTGAATTTGCATTCTGTTTTCAAATTTCTAAAGTTTGTGTAAACAGGACAGTTTTATTTTCAGGAGAGTGATTTTGAGGATTTACTTCATTTCCCTCATTTATTTTGGAGTCACTGGCCAAGAACATCAAGTTTTAAACTAAGAGGCACTTCTTTGTGTTTCACTTGTCAATCATCGTGCAGGTGAAGCTTGTTGGTGGACCATCCATCCTGCCTCTAAGCAGCGCTCAGAAGGAGAAAAGGTGCGCGTTGGAGATGACCTCATCTTAGTGAGCGTGTCCTCTGAAAGGTACCTGGTAAGTGTGGAAAGTGAGATCATGTACTTGGGAATAAGATGAGTGATAGGTCAATAAAATGATTCCTTTAAAGCTGAGATTGCCAATTATGTAGGAAAATTGCTTAGAAACAAGCCTGTACCTCTATTTGATGAGTTATAAATAACTCCATAAGTAGAGGGAATGATGTGCCATGTGTGGAAGTGTGGCTTAGTAGGATTATTTACACAGACTTCCCTCATGCCCTTAGTCTGTATGTTCACGACATTGATAGAGCCTGTTCTTGGATTATTTTATCAACAGCATGTAAACGCAATCCAATCAGGATTTTGAAATTCCACAGATGTTATTTTGTGCCCAATGATAAAGCTGTATTAATGAGGCTGTGATTACCTATTTTGTTATTTATGAGAGCAAATTATTATAGGAGAAACACTTGTCATGCTAAGAAAGGAGAAATAAATGAAATACAGTTTAATTCTCTCACTGATATTGCATTGTTCCAGCGGAGAAGGGCTGGAAATGAGAGATTAAAGAAAGAAGTTTATGTTTAATCAGAGGAGGTGTTTTTTTATTTTTGTGGTAAGGTCATTATCTATTTAATTTAACTTATTTAGTAAATTGTATTTTTGGTAAAAATAATCATATGCAGAAGTTCACGAAAGATTGCAGTCAATGGAAGTGTATAAGATATCAGGGCAAAATATTTTTTATTTTAAAGTTGAGAAAGTAAGCAAATATAAAATGGAGTATTATAAACTCTACATGAATATCCACATAAAAAAATCCCAGACATCATAGTGGATGATGACTGAAACAAAAATCAGAAACAGAGCATTGTTGCAATAACATTTTCTAAAATTAGCTTGAGTTTATTTCCACTTCCTTAAATCAAAATATTTGTGTGTGATTTTGAATTAAGAAAGTAGTTGGTACCCCTTGGCTCTATGAGACTCTCAATAGAGTGGGTCTTGTGGGTCAAGTAAGTTTTTGCTAACCAACACAATTAATTCCAATTTTTGAAACACCGCTAAGAGGAAGGGTGTAGTTTTACTTGCTTTGAGGAAAGAAGTAATGAGGAAGACAGGGAGGTGGGGAAACAAGGCCTCGTGACTGACAGGAGCTATTAGATGGAGCAGCTGATAATGCAGAGCTAAAGGGGGCCTGGAGCACTGCTCTCATTTTTTCTCTTAACCAGTGTAGGTGGAAACACACCACGCACATTTCTAGGACAGTGCAAGTGTGCCGGCTTGTCCAGTAAGCTTTTATTAAGCCCTTGCTGTGTGCCTGTGCTGTGTATGTGATGTTGTTGTAGTTTGATCAGGAGGTAGACATTTTGAGTTGTCATTTTACTTGGAAACCAATAGCAGTAATAAAAATAATTCATGCCTGCTTCTCAGTGTATAAATTCTACACATATCTTATTTCTATTTGTGCACGATTATGCATGTTTTTGCTGTACGGACTTGGTCTTCCCACTACAGAGCAGAGTTGGACAGGATGGCATCAGTATGCACAGGAGTAGAAAATTCAGAATCTCACTGAGGCCAGGGCTTTTAAGTGTCAATTATACCACTAATTTCTTGAATCACATAGTTCCATGAATTCTGGCTTCCTCATTGCAAAATGGTGACAGTTATCCCTAACACCACAGTTACTGTGATGAAGCAATGAGAGGATAAATTTGAACATTCTTGGAATTAAAGAACACTGTACAAACAATGGTAGTAATTGTAATGCATGAGGTTCCCCTTCTGTTACCTTGGAAAATAAATGAACTTCATGACTAATTACGTTTAGAGGTCAAGCTACATTTTAGCTAGTTTATTTAAATTCCTTTTCTGATAACCCTGTAAATTTTTTTTTTTTTTTTTTGCCACACTGCCCTTCATCCAGGGTCTTAGTTCCCCAATCAGGAATTAAATCTGTACTTCCTGCTTAGAAGGGTGGAGTCTCAACCACTGCACTGCCAGGATTGTCCCTCTGATAACCTTTTATATTCCGAAAGAGAAAGATGAATATCATATACTAATGCATATATATGGAATCTAGAAAGATGGTACCGAAGAATTTATTTGCAGGGCAGCAATGGAGAAACAGACATAGAAAACAGACTTATGGACACAGTGAGAGGGGAGGAGAGGGTGAGATGTGTGGAGAGAGTAGCATGGAAATGTACATTACCATATGTAAAATGGATAGCCAAGTGGAATTTGCTGTCTGGCTCAGGAAACTCAAATGGGCTCTGTGTCAACCTAGAGGGGTGGGATGGGGAGGCAGATGTGGGGAGGTTCAGAGGGAGGGGATATATGTATACCTATGGCTGATTCATGTTGAGGTTTGACAGAAAACAATAAAATTCTGTAAAGCAATTATCCTTCAATTAAAAAATAGGTAAATTAAAAAAAAAAAGTACAGATAGTTGACCAAACAGATTGTTAAAAATTTACTTTCATTTGGTGATGAAGTCAGTGATTTTAGTGGTTATCTCTATGGACTTCACATATAATAATAGAAACCACAGGAACAACCACATATTACACATGGTTTCTGCCCTTGAAAAAGTAGTGAAAAAATAGACCAAGCCCATGGAACTATAGGAGAATATTGTTAAGACAGTAACTTAGTGTTCAAGTTTAGGTTAGAGAAGCTGAGGGATGTTTGAATGGATTTAGGCATAGTTAATTATTACCTTCCATTTCCACATGGGTGATTATAGTAGGAGTATGGAGTCTTATGTTCATGTATTCGAGGACCACATGGTGCTTAGTTAGAAGGATCTGGAGCAAGTGAAAGGGTAAAATGTGAGGAAATAAAAGACATTGGAATAAACAGTAGAGGTGGAATAATCCACATACTGAACCTGAATAATTGAAAATGAATTGCATATATTCTCACATACACACACTTGTTTGTTAGTACAGAGCCCGATAAGCATGAGCTTGGGCCAATCACATAACCTCTTCAAATTCTCTGTTTCTTCATCTTTTGGGTCTGGGTAATAGCTCCATTCACAGGGATATTAAGAGATTTGAATGCTTAATCCAGACAAGACTTTGAGCTCTACGACACATCTAAAAATTGTTATCATTATTTACCTGGGAGATTTGTACCTATTAAGAATAGTTAAAGGAACTTTAGATATTTAACCAGAAGAAGAGAAGGAGGGGAAGTGAATAGTAAACAGACTCTGATGTAACAGTTGATTTTAAATAAAGGTCTGTCGTGTATAAGCAAGAGTCATATGCTGAGAAGGTTCTGATATGGTTAAAAATTAGTTGAGAAATTTGACTGAAAACACAGCAGTTATAACTAACTACTGAAAATAAACATTGCCAGTCGTTGACTTTTTTTTTTAAGTCATTGCTGTCAGTTGGCCTTTGATCTAATTTCTCTTCACTAACAGTGATTGTTAAGCTAAGGTTAAACTATCTAATTGTTCACTTGCTGCTCTAATCAAGGTCACATCTGGTGGGGTGGTAAATTGATTGAAACTGATTGAAGGACTGATTTTTCTCTCTGCTCTATCTTTGGACGAAAGGGCACTCCTGGGTGCTCTGCCTTCTGCTTCAAGTGTTGAACCTCTTTACAGGATTTCCTAGGAATAAAGGATCTTCTCTCCAGAAAAGATTGCAAACCCCTTATGCAAAATAATGTCTTCCAAGCTTGCTGTTTCATATTTTATTACAAAAAAATGATACCTTCTTCTGTTTTTCAGGAATATCCAAAGTGGGAGGGAAATTCTTTTTCCCCACTGGAATGATTTATTTATTTTTTTTAAAAAGGCTTTAGCAAAGCAGCTTAAATTATAAGAGAACAATGCAATTTAAAAGAGAGGAAACATGATTGAATAGCTACTACTGTGAATCTATTTCAAACTGAACAAAATAAAGTAAAGCATGTAAAACAACTCTTATTTGTGTTAGAAGATATAAAATCAGCCAGGCATGCACAGGAATTTTCAACCCATAGATTGGATTGTTTTCATTTGAAACATTAATTTTTGAATAATTTTCTCTGTCACCTATAGAAACAGATAGATTTTTTTTTAAAAATTCATGAAAATATTACCAAACAACTGTCTAAAAGTAAATTGGGAAAAGCAGAACCTCACAATCGAAAGTGATGAAAAATGCTTAAAATAAAGCTATTCTAAGGCTCTTAAAAATTTCCTTCTCTCATACTAACCTCTTTATTTCTGATAAGAAATGCTAGGTGGTTTGATTGTATAAGTTACTGAGTTGCCTTAAGTTGCATGAAAATATTGATAACTAGAATGACCGCAGTCACCTTTTTTTTTCCTCTGTGGCTCAGGTAATGAAAACATAGACTGTTCCATGTTCCATTTGAAAAGAATATCTATCTGTGTCTTTTTTTTTTTCTCAGAATTAAAAAACTGAAGCCTGGAGGGTGATGTATCTTGTTTACTTGTGTTCCCTGTCGCTGGAGGATCATTTTTCCAGAGTCTCACATCACTAGGACCCAAGTGTCTGGCCCTTAACGAGAGAGAAATAAATGAGTGAATGAATGCCTCAGATAAAGGTTGAATTTGGATATTCTTAAAAATTTTTGTGCTTTGGACCTTTTGGGCAGTCAGATTCACATCACTAGGACCCAAGTGTCTGGCCCTTAATGAGAGAGAAATAAATGAGTGAATGAATGCCTCAGATAAAGGTTGAATTTGGATATTCTTAAAAATTTTTGTGCTTTGGACCTTTTGGGCAGTCAGATATTCCTTGTCTCATTAGCTTTTAAAATGCATACAATATATACGCTGGATTACAAAGGAAACGGAAGGTATCAAAGTGGAGTCCAGGTTGAGAACTCCTGGGAGGTGATTTGTAGCATCTTCTCTAAGCCTGAGATTGTGTGCTTCTATCATATAAAGTCTTGTTACTCAAAGCATGCTTCTTGGAGTAGTGGCCTTGGTTGCCCACCCCCACCCCCCGACTGGCCCCACCTCATGAATTCAAATTTGTCTTTTTAATAAGATTTTTAATATAGACCATTAAAAAAATCTTTATTGATTTTGTTACAGTATTGCTTCTGTTTTGTTTTGTCTTTTTTTGGTCTTGAGACATGTGGGATTGTAGCTCCCAGACCAGGAGTTGAACCTGCACCCCCTTGCATTGGAACGTGAAGTTTTAACCACTGAATTGTCAGGGAAATTCCCCAAATCTTCCTTTTTTGGGGAAGCTCCTCATATGATTCATGTGTCTGTGAGAACTCTAGAGTCACTAACATGTGAATCAAGGTGATAGAAGGGAGCAGTTGACTCTTCCCAAGTCCCTCCAGTGCCCTGGAAGGTGTGTACGCTTGAGAGCAGTTGCATGTTTCAGCCTAAGGTCAGCTGTGCTTTCAGCCTTGGACATCTGTTTTTGCTTTAAGGATAACTCATCTTAGTGCTAGTTACTGAAACTGTTACTGTCTTCTGAATATTTTACCTTACAGACCTGTGAATTCACAAACAGTGTGGTTCTTATGCAGATTTCCCTTTCTTGGTGAAGTGGCAAAATTAAATAGAGGCATCCGAAAGAGTTATGCCTAGAGAATATTTCTTTGAGAAGAGTGGATATTATCTAGATAACTTTAAATGGTATAATATGATCTTAAGGACTTTTTTTTTTAAACTTTTTTCCAACAGGCTGAGATTTTCCTATTTTTATGCTTATACTTATTATATTTCTTGGGCTTCCCTAGTAGCTCAGTCAGTAAAGAAATGCCTGCAATAGAGGAGACCCTGGTTCCACCCCTGGGTCGGGAAGATCCCTTGGAGAAGGGAATGTCCACCCACTCCAGTATTCTCGCCTAGAGAATTCCATGGACAGACCATTGCATAACAAGAAGAGTCAGACACAACTAAGCAATTAACACTTTGACTTTCAGGCTTAGATATGATTTGATACATTGTAGTACTCCTTCCTCCATTATTTTTTCATTGCTGCTGCTGCTAAGTCACTTTAGTCGTGTCTGACTCTGTATGATNGGATTCTCTGGGCAAGAACACTGGAGTGGGTTGCCATTTCCTTCTCCAATGTGTGAAAGTGAAAAGTGAAAGTGAAGTTGCTCAGTCGTGTCCAACTCTTAGCGACCCCATGGACCGCAGCCTACCAGGCTCCTCCATCCGTGGGATTTTCCAGGCAAGAGTACTGGAGTGGGATGCCATTGCCATGTCTCCTTTTCATTGCAGTGGCTCCTTATTCCCAATAAAGTCCTTGATCTGGCACCTGCCTTGTCTGCAGGCCTTTGTCTCACTCTGTTTCTAAGTATATGCTATATGCCCCAAAGATGAAACTTTACTGTGCTTACATTCCTTTATCTCTGCCTCTTTGCATCCTATTTCCCGTATTAGAGCTTAGAGGGCCAAAAAAAAAAAAAAAGCCCAGGCAACTTCCAACTGTGAGGTTTCTAGAATATTAGGAGTGAAAATCTCCAAACTAGGTTAGAAAAGTTTTGGTATTTTTAGTATGTTTACACTTACTTAGCACATTAACATTATGAATACAGATACCCAAATCCAATGTATGTGCAAACTTTTGAAGACAGCATCTCTAAATATTTCAATATGAGGTTCAGGCCAAATGATCATACTGGCTCCTGGAATGTTTCATCCCACATGGAATCCAGTCTCTCCTGTGGAAACACCACCTGTCCTCAAGGCCCAGGACAATGGACTCAGTTCTGATTAGGACTCAGTTCTGATTAGGCAGGTCTCATCTCTCAGTTCCTGTAGCACTGTAATTACAGTTCAGCTAATGTGTATGTATTTTTCTATTCTTTTGCTGTTATTCTGGATTTGATCATGAAATGAGTGTTTATGAAATAATTTAAATTACATTCTTTAAAGTTTATGCTACTTTGATTTGAAAGGTCTGGTTGGCTTCTGCACTTACTTCTTTATTATAACCCTTTCAGATGCAAGGAATACAGTTGTGAGCCTGTGCCAGATAGCTTACAAGAGGGAGAAATAAAAATACACTAAAGGATAATGTTGTATGTTGAAGGCTATGAAAGAAAATATATTTTTCTTGGTTGTGGAAGCAGCTGGCATGTGATTTATTTGTAAACAGTTAAAGAATTTTAACATATCAGAGAAGAAATTAATTCAGTAAAGGCATCTCAGCTGAAATTTTGCTTAAGAGTGACAGGTTCAGGTGAAGAGGAGGGTGTGGGGTGAGGGGTAAGAGCATGTTATTGCTGAATCTGATGCATTCACTCTTAATTTTACTGACTGAAAAAATTATTTTCTAGATAATTACATATATGTCAAATGTCACAACTTTCTTTGATTTTGTTTTTAAGAGAAAGAAAATGAAGTACCTATGTGTGCTGGTGACCTAGTGTATTTAGTATAAATATTATATATAATAAATATTTGTATATTTAGGTAGGAGAGACCTTTGGGTATTAAAAGGACCTGTGACATATACCAGTGTGACTCTTCATGCTGTGGCTGCTCTTTATTTAACTAGGAGAGTCAGATTTCTGAAAAAGTTCTAGTGCAATTAAAATCTTTAAAAGCTTAAGCTATTGTTATCAAAACTGGAAAATGTTGCAGGAATATTATAGGAATGTTGGTGATGTTTACTCAGATGACTCTGAGAGAACAGGTGGTTTTTCCAGCAGCAGCCAGGTAATGGTTAAGGAAATAAGCAAGGCATTTGGTTGTATCCATAATTTTGTTTTTCTTTACTTGTCATTTCAGAGTTCATCAATTATGGCTCTTAAAGATGTAAAATATGACCATCTTTTAATACATTTGATTTTAAGCAGGAAAATCTGAAATTTGAAATGAATGAATTTTGAGGGACATATTGTCCTGATTTTTGATAGTATTAGGAAGTATTGCCTGGAGAAGGCAATTGCAGCCCACTCCAGTGCTCTTGCCTGGGAAATCCTGTGGACGGAGGAGCCTGGTGGGCTGCGGTCCATGGGGTCGCTAAGAGTCAGACACGACTGAGCGACTTCACTTTCACTTTTCACTTTCATGCATTGGAGAAGGAAATGGCAACCCACTCCAGTGTTCTTGCCTGGAGAATCCCAGGGATGGGAGCCTGGTAGGCTGCCGTCTCTGGGTTTGCGCAGAGTCAGACAGGACTGACATGACTTAGCAGCAGGAAGTATTGCCATCTAATGGCTATTATGTCAAATTGTAGATAAAAGTTCCTAAAGGACCCCGTAAAACCAAGACATATCAGTCCTGTAGATTTCACCTACTTCACTGTCAAAACACTGTCATGGTGTAATATGTAAAACCTTAATTGCAGTTTTAATGATAAGTGCCCTCTGTCTGTATAGTAAGCCTTTACAAAAGAATAGTCCGTTTTCACAAATGTATTTTTATTACTTTAATTTGTATGATTTCCGGTTAGTGACTTGAGTAGTAATGCTTAGAAGGAAGCTGAAAAATACCCAAAGTTAGATATAAACTCTTAACTTTTATTCTACTAGTCTCTTCATTTTTGGTGACAGGAGTGAAACAGAGTTTCTCTGTGGACGTTTCCAAATCCGCAGTGTGCAGTTTGAGTGGCCAGCAGCACTTGCATGTTAAGATTTGCGCAGAGCCTGTAGTGATGCCTCCTTTTGCCCCTACTGCAGCACTTGTCTTACGGTAACGGCAGCTTGCACGTGGATGCTGCTTTCCAGCAGACCCTCTGGAGCGTGGCCCCCATCAGCTCAGGAAGTGAAGCAGCCCAAGGTAAAAACTCCACTTCTCCTAAGAGGCTGGTCCCTGATACAGAGTTGAGAGTCATCTTTGAAACTGTGTTAATGAGCAAATAAATTAGAGCTGTTTGTGTGAAAATATTCTATAATGAAGATACATGACATTTAAGAACTTATTTCAATTGCTGCTTAAAAGTGAAGTTTGTGTTAAGATTTAGCTCTCCTTATTTTTACACTGTTGTCAACTTTAGCTTATTCTTGTGTGTACTATAAGTGCTAGCTTTCTAGGGGTTATTTTCTCCATGTTTTGGCCTTAGGGTATTGCTTAGTTAGGCTAATGTCGAGATTTCTCATCTTCCAGGGTGTGTGACTTAGTGCTGGATCACAGCAATGCTTGGGCATCAAGATTTTCTTGGGATGTATCAGTTTGTTCTGATTATTCTCACTTACATAAGTTCAAATCTGTGCCTATTTAGGCTTGTATGTTTAGTGGACGCTTTTATGAGGCTGAGGTCACGTATAGTAGTGGGAATATCACTGACTCTGGGACTTGGAAACCCAGGGCTCAGGAGTGGAAGACAGGTGACCCCACCCATCTCTGCAATTTTGGTCCAGTACTTACTCCTTACCAGACTTCTGTTTCTCTGTCTGTGAAAATAGGAGGTCAGATCAGATATTCTGTTTAGCTTTCACTATCTGATGATGACAGTTCAAATGTGACTGTGTTTCGATCCTTCTAGGGTATCTGATTGGTGGTGACGTCCTCAGGTTGCTTCATGGACATATGGATGAATGCCTCACTGTCCCTTCAGGAGAACACGGTGAAGAGCAGCGGAGGTTGGTATCGGGTCCAGTGCTTTAAGCCTTGCATTTTCATGTTTTGATATAATTTTTATAATTTAAGAGTATGTCTGTTCAGGCCATTCATGTAATAGAAAGTGGGCCACTATTGTTTATCTGTCCACTGAAGTGATCCATTTATTGATCTCCTCTGAAATTTTTTCTCATATTAGGTTTTTGCTGCCTATCAATAGAGTTGCTGAAAATTTTTGTATAATGAAAACATGGTTAGAAGCATTGAACACAAGAAACTGAGTGGGAAGAGTGCTCATTTAACTACTTAGGGATTCATTAAATGTTCAATTTTTTTTTTTTTTTTTGATGAATTCTCTTTCTGGAATGTGTAGTCTCAAATTCAGTTTAAAAGTCAGAGTTCTCAAACTGCCCAGAAGTTCAGGACCTTTTTCTGTTCCCTCCCATTGATTGATATGTGTGCTAAGTTGGTTCAGTCATGTCTAACTCTTTGCAATCTTATGGAGTAAAGTCCGCCAGGCTCCTCTGTTCATGGGACTCTCTAGGTAAGAATACTGGAGTGGGTTGCCATGCCCTCTTTCAGGGATCTTGCTGACCTAGGGATCGGACCTGTGTTCCTTATGTCTCCTACATTGGCAGGCGGGCTCTTTACCACCAGTGCCACCTGACAGAAGTAAAAAAATTAATCATTTAGTCTAATATTTTATGTGATTTTAATACTGCTCTTGTGTTAATATTATTTGGCACTGGGCCAAGATAGAAGTAATCTGGATCACAGGAAAAAGTGCACAAGTAATAAAAAACCATAAAAATATTTAGGGTGATTTGAATGTTTTATTTGCCTCACAAATTAATGAATGGATATGGTAGGATACGTAAGAGATGACTGTGAGAGAATGATGATCTGGGTGATTTATTACATGGCTTTAAGTCTTTTGGTGGAGGTTTCTAATAATATATGAATATTTAGAAATGAAAACATTTAGAAAATTAATATCAATCATTTAACTAGCTGTTTAATTTTGGGAAAAATCAGTTTGAGACCTGGATACTAGTCTTAACCTCTCTTGCCAGGCAGAGCTAGGTATGGTGAAGTGTGAAACACAGAGCCTGTAAAAATGTCCTAAACTAAAAAGTGCTGCTTATAGTAGGCTAGGAAGATGTTGATGGTGTTGATAAGGGTTTGTATGAAAATGAGAGGGACTTCAAAAAGCTGTTGTTTTGAGGGATTAATTCCAAACAAAAATACGAACAGAAGTGTGTCCTGGAAATAGTAATAATTCTGGAGTGATGAGGGGCAGGATGGAAGGAGGATAGAAACTAGACAGGAGGGAGGAGTTGGATCAGCTTTTGAAGGCTCCTTAGTGCCATAACCATGGGCTGGCTCTTGCTCTGAGTTAGTTGGGAAGGAGTCTGTGGGGATGAGCAGGGATAACATAGTCAGTATCTTTGAAAAGGGTTGCTCTGATGAACAAGAGGAACTTAGACCAGAGGCAGAGAGATTGTGGATCAGGGAAACCAATGCAATTAAAGCAGAAGGCTGATGTAGTCATTCATCATCAAGCTAAGAGAAGCTTAGCTTGGACAGTGGCCATTAGAATAGGATGACCTGATCCAGAGACATTTCAGGTCAGATTGATTAACTGGTTTAGGGATGAACTCAGTGTAGTCCCTGAGAGAGATTTAAGGGTGAGCTGATGTTTCTGATTCAAAGGAGAGATGATGTTAAAGACTGTAGGAGATACAGTATGGTATGGTATGAAGGACTGAATGAGATTTTGGACACTGGTGAGCACAAAGGGTCATGGGAAATAAAGGGTCTATGGGAAATTGGAATTTTTGAGTCTTTAGCTTAGACAAAGCTTGGGTTGGATATGAATCACAGGTGCGTGTAGGGTAGTTGAAGGAATGGAAGCCCTGTATAGAGAGGAAGGAACTGTAATTACAGGGGTATGTTTAGCAACTTGGGCATAGCTTTAAAAAGTATGCAAAGAGCAACCTAGATGTCCATTGACAGATGAATGGATAAAAAAGTTATGTTACATATATACAATGCAATATTAGTCAGCCATAAAAAAATATAGGGCTTTCCTGGTGGCTCAGATGGTAAAGCGTCTGCCTGCAGTGTGGGAGACCCGAGTTTGATCCCTGGGTTGGGAAGATCCCCTGGAGAAGGAAATGGCAACCCACCCCAATACTCTTGCCTGGAAAATTCCATGGACGGAGGAGCCTGGTAGG